GTTCACGTCTTAGTCTTCAATGTCGTCCACGTCCTCGTCCTCGTCTATTTCTTCTCATACAAGTTGTAAATAAATAAAAGCCATGTCTGAATAATAAATCTTATAACACGTTAGCATATATTATAGTCTTCGCGATAGCACGATCTTTCACGGCTAATAAAACTCAACGAAGGATATACATCGCGTTAATTATTATTAAAATACCGTAAAATTATTTATCATTATTTATTATTATTTATTTATTTATTTATTATTATAATTATAATTATTATTGTTATTATTATTATTATTATTATTATTATTATTATTATTATTATTATTATTATTATTATTATTATTACATTTATTAGCACCGTATATATATACATATATATATAAATATATAATATATATATATATATTATATATATACATATATATATCTTGATCAATAAGTCAGATAAAACTTCCGGACATCGATCTATATAAATCTTTCATCTTTCCTTTTTTATTTCTCTCACTCTCTCTCTCTCTCTTTCTTTCTCTTCGAAAACAAAAAATTAATCGTTTCTATCTATTAATGGTTAAAAATGAATACTTTTTTTCTGTTATAATAATATTTACAATAATATGTGTCCCGATGTAATATTTTAGCATCGTCGAAAATGTGAAGAAAAAAAAAAAAGGACGATATCTGTATTTTGAAAAGCTTCAACATTGGCTCTTTAATCATTAAAGTTGAATCTACAACATCAGAATAAAATATTAACGATACCACACACTAATGATATCTCTCTCACACACATACACATGCTCTCTCGCTCTCACTCTCTCACTCTCTCACTCTCTCTCTCTCTCTTTCTCTCTCTGCGCAGCAGAATAGCCGTGAAAAAAATACTCTTGTGTCTTTCTTCTCCTCTAAATACTTATTTACTTACTTATTTACTTACTTATTTACTTAAAATGTAAAATCGATTTCTTCTTCTTATTCTTTTTTTAATTTATATTTTACAGTTAGTCGATTTGTTGCTTTATTTTTTATTCATCTCTTTCTTTCATTTTCTCTCTCTCTCTCTCTCTCTCTCTCTCTCTCTCTCTCTCTCTCTCTCTCTTTCTCTCTCTCTCTCATACATACATTCTATTTCAGTCAATCATAAAAAAGATAATTTATATTTCACATAATACAAATTGTTGTTGTTGTTATAGTTGTTATTGTTGTTATTGTTATTATCGTTTATATCTTGTTAAATTAATCGACTATTACAATCAAATTTGAAAGAAGACGTCAACAATTGCATTAATGATAACGATGAATTATTGCTAAAGGAAACTTAAGACATTATAAAATGTACAATTTTCTCAGGATAATTTATACATATGTATATCTACGCATATATGTATGTATGTATGTATGCATGTATGTATATATGTATGTTATTAGTCTTGATTGTGTGTCTATTAATACGATTGCAATATATAAATAATCTAATGATTTATTTTTGAAAAAAAATGTGTTCAATGTCCTAAGGCATTTATTTTTGACAACGATTGTAGAGCCTCGGCATTCGGTCAAATCTTTTATATATATATATATATATATATATATATATATATATATATATATTTTTTACTTCTTCTTCTTCTTCTTCTTCTTCTTTTTCTTCTGCTTTTTCTTTATATTTTTTGTTCTTTTAATCCACCAATTTCATCTCAAAATTATTTAATTAATATTAATTAATAGTCTAAAATTCCATAGATCTTTCTTATTCGTCTAACTGAGCCAGATATTTGTATTATTCTAGCTCGAGTACAAACGATTACATTTTTTTAACTATTATTATTATTGTTATTATTGTTATTATTATTATTATTATTATTATTATTATTATTATTATTATTATTATTATTATATTATTATTATTAATAATATTATTACTATTATTTTATACATGACTTCGAGTAGGTTACACAATATACAATTTCTTATTGTTATTAAATTCAGATAAATATAATAGCGATTTAAAAATGACGGAATATTATCATATATCACTTGATAATAATAATGTAATCAATTATTTTCGTTTTATTATCATTATTATTATTATTATTATTATTGTTATTATTATAATTATTATTATAACTTATTTTTATTATTATTATAATTAAACTTATTATTATTATTATATTTTATCTTATATATATATGTATATATATATATATACACACACATATTGATTTAATTATTACAAAATGTACTTCTCATAATAAAGTCTTACATATATATATATATATATATATATATATATATATATGCTGATATATAATTTGAAATCCTTAGGTAAATATTTGCCGACTTGTAATATACTACACATCTACAAAAGATTATACGACGTATATGAATCTTTAATCAATATGTATCATAATAAATAGTATAAGTCATTCTCATAATTTTATTTCCACTTTTACTCAAGATTTATCAGAATTTTTATATAATTATCTCAATGAAGATAAATATATATATATATATATATTTTTTTTTTCAAATCATGTCAAATCGAATTTAAATAAATGAATCGACAATTCATGTATGTATGTATTTATGTACGTATGTACACATGTATTTTCTCTATCTGCACAGTAAAAAATAATGTCTCATAGAATACACAATGCTTTTTCTTTTCTTGTTTCTTTTACAAATTCTTGATTCAATGAAACAATGAAGTACATATATATCATAATGTATATAAATGGATAGTAGGGTATTAAATATAAAAAGAACAAATAAAAAGAGAGATTGTTAATCTCTCTTACACACAAAGAAGGAATTAATAAATGAAACAAACATGTCGATGGTAATATTGATGATAATAAGAATAATAACAATAATAATAACAATAATAATAATAATAATAATAATAATAAAAATAATAATTGTAATTTATAATAATAATTAAATAGTTCACGAGAAATTCCATAATTTTATAAATATATCACTTAATTCTTCAGATATTAAATAATATTTAATATAAGTATATTATACATATCAACCTGCTGCTATTGAATTAGAAATTTACTATTGAATTAGAAAATCTAATGAAACAACTATTATAAATTTTTTGTTCATTAATATGTGAACAAATAGTTTACAAGTATCTCAGCGGAACGATGGCATAAATGATAATAATAATAATTAATAATAATAATAATAATAATAATAATAATAATAATAATAATAATAATAATAATAATAATAATAATAATAATAATTAATAATAATAATAATAATAATAATAATAATAATAATAATAATAACAATAATAATAATAATAATAATAATAATAATAATAAACTTATATTTTTAACTGTGCTTTGAGAGAGTGATAAACTTCTTCTTTTTCTTCTTTATTATTATCTTTCTTTTTTCTTTTTTTTTTTTTTAATGTTATAATAAATTGGAATTGCGCTAAAGATGATAATGAGGAGAGGAGAAAAAGATATAAATAAAATGCATGCGAAGGAAAGAAAGAAAAAAAGAAAGAAAGAAAGAAACAAGAAGAAAAATTAAAAGTTAATTCGATACGAATAAGAACGAAGGAAAATAGTTTATGCGTAATATTGAAAAAAAAAAAAGAAAAAAAGAAATTAATATGTATAATATCTAATGCTAATATGGAATAAAGAAAAAAATTTTACTCGCGACGATAATCGCGACAAAATTGACATTGAAATCGAAATTAAAATTAAAATCGAAATTAAAATTATAATTAAAATTGAAAGTTGAAATTGAAATTGAAATTGAAATTGGAATTGAAATCGTTCGTTATCGGCGCATCCTTAGGCGTGATACATTCGAATAAATTAAAATATTTATGTCTATCGTTTATGAACTATTGTCATGTAATTAATAATAATAACAATAATAATATTAATACCATAATCATAATCATAAACATAATCCTCATAATCCTCATAATCATCATACTTCACCATCACCATCACCATCACCACCACCATCATCATTGTCATCATCATCATCATATCATCATCATCATCATCATTATCATCATCATCATCATCATCATCATCATCATCATCATCATCATCATCATCATTATCATAATCATCATTATCATTATCGTCATCATCATCATCAACATCATCATCATTGTCACCACCATCATCATCATGATCATCATCATCATCATTATCATCCATCATTATCATCATCATCATCATCATCATCATCATCATCATCATCATCATCATCATCATCATCATCATCTTCATCATTGATTAATAGATCTCTTAGAAATTATTTTGGAATGGAAATATCAATACGAGTAAAAATTAAAAGTATAATATCAGTGCACATGTGTCCAAGCGTTTTAATACAGGACGATTTCTTTCGTTTAAAGTAATATTTGTGAAAACTTGTATTATCGAATTATTCTAAGCTGATTATAGAGAAATCATTTCTTCAGAGGCCTACCTATAATAGTATTTTGCTAAATTGTAAGTCGAAGATCACTTTTGCATTTGACATATATGCAAAGGATGTAATATAATCTTCTATATAAAGTAATAGGAAATATTTTGTAATCAAACGTAATTCCCTATAAAATACAGTTTTTATCAATTATGCGCCATTACTATATATATATATATATATATATATATATATATATATATATGTATATATATACACACACACATATATATATTATCGATTAAAATTAGATTTTGGAAGCTTGCAGTTTTTCTGAGGCATATATCGTGTTTTTTGTTTAATGTGTATATATATATATATATATATATATATATATATATATATATACACATACACATAAACATGACATATCCCATGCATGTGTTATTCGGTATGATATATCTCATACATAATTATGTCCTATATGAAAATTCTATAAAAAATTTGCCAAAGCTACAAATATTTGTACTTATTACTACTGTACAATATGTTTATCTCCACTCTTTCAAGGTACATACGACATTTTTAACGCGACAGTCCCTTCTTTTTTTTTCTTTTCTTTTTTTTTTTTTTTTTATGGACCCTCACATCGTTATCTATATCTCATTATCTTACACCACTTTGTTATAGACTTATTATAAGTTAGATTGTTTGCTTTTGGCACTCATACTTTGTTCCTCCATATCATGTATTTCTACAACCTCTTCGATGCTATCCTCATTTTCTGATATATCTTGAACATATGCCATCTCTTGAATATCGTCAGACTGTATCGTTGAATTATTTTCATGGTGTGCTATACCATACTCTTCAATCTCGTACTCGTTCGTATCTTGATAAATATATTCAGTCGCACCAGTATTAGAATCCTCGTTTCCTATTGTTAATACATTTTGTTGAATTAAAATCTGATTACCTTCCGAATCGTTAGCTACCATCAATACAGCACCATCCAGATTATGAATTTGTACATCGTTATCTCTAGTCTCATTGTCAAATTTAATCTCTTCGTCTAAATTTTCCTCATAAGAGTCAATCTCGGAATCATTGATACATTCGTTAATTTCTAATTTTTCATATCTATTTACCGAATTACAATCCACATTTTGTTCATCTATTTCCATTTGTCCATCCTCATTGGCCGATATACTACCTTCCTCCTCTTCTTCTTCCTCCTCCTCCTCCTCCTCCTCCTCCTCTTCCTCCTCCTCGTCCTCCCCCTCCCCATCCTCCCGTTCCTCCACCTCTCTCTCCTCCTCATCCCTCTCTTCCTCCTCTTCCTCCTCCTCTTCCACTTCCTCCTCCTCCTCTTCCTCATCCTCCTCGTTATCGATATTTTCAAAATCGTCACAATCATATTCTAAATTATGGTTAGACGCATTAGCGTTCATGTCCTTATCGTTATCCGTATTTTCGTAATAATTTATTAGATTCGATATGGATGACGTCGTACCCCTTTCAACATCGTTACCATTTTCAGAAAATTCACACATTTCTAATACCTTTTCGTCGTTCATTGACAACGGTACCATAGGACTAAGCTTGTGTCTCATATCATCTATCGGATTATTATTGTGTTGTTGCGTTTGTTCCTGTTCTAACAATGGCATAATTGGACTCAAAATGGGTGGACCATCGTCGTCGGTAAAATCCGAATCGCTTCTTCTTTTCTCGGGTGATTCCTTGACGTGAAGATTATTCAATTTACTCACATTCACTGATTCTTTAATATTCAATTCTTTCTGCTGCTGCTGCTGTTGCTGTTGTTGTTCTTGTTGTTGTTGTTCTTGTTGTTGTAGTTGTTGTTGCAGTTGTTGTTGTTGTTGTTGTTGTTGTTGTTGTTGTTGTTGTCGTAGTTGTTGTTGTTGTAGTAGTAGTTGTTGTTGTAGTTGTTCTTGCTGCTGCTGCTGCTGCTGCTGCTGCTCCTGTTGTTGTTGTAATTGTTGTTGTTGTTGTTGTTGTAGTTGTTGTTGTTGTAGTAGTAGTTGTTGTTGTAGTTGTTCTTGCTGCTGCTGCTGCTGCTGCTGCTGCTCCTGTTGTTGTTGTAGTTGTTGTTGTTGTTGTTGTTGTAGTTGTTGCTCTTGTTCTTGTTGTTGTTGTTGTGGTTGTTGTGGTTGTGGTTGTTGTTGTTGTGGTTGCTGTTGTTGTGGTTGCTGCTGTTGTTGTTGTGGTTGTTGTGGTTGTTGTGGCTGTTGTTGTTGTTGTTGTTGTTGTTGTTGTTGTTGTTGTTGCTGTTGTTGTTGTTGTTGTTGTTGTTGTTGGGGTTGTGGTTGTGGTTGTAGTTGTGGTTGTGGTTGTGGTTGTGGTTGTGGTTGTGGTTGTGGTTGTGGTTGTGGTTGTGGTTGTGGTTGTGGTTGTGGTTGTGGTTGTGGTTGTGGTTGTTGTTGTGGTGGTTGTTGTGGTGGTGGTTGTTGTTGTGGTGGTGGTTGTTGGTGTGGTGGTTGTTGTTCCTCTTGATTAGTCTCTTTAACTTCACCAACTATTTCCTGATTCGTTAATTGTCCTTCCAAATTGTCTTTCGTATCGATATCCATTTGCTTATCCTCGTTGTGTATCATAAAGCAATTCATGTCGTTTAAATTTTTATTATCAATCATGGCGGAATTTACGGAATTTTCTGAATCTGTATCATCGCTTACATCGGTATTACACGATACTTCCCCTCCTATTATAGCCCTACTATTAGATCTAGACTCGGCTTCAGAATCATTTTCCTCTTCCGCTTCCTCCTCGTCGCTGGTACTGGTATTACTGGCACTATCCGAATCTTCCGAATTTTCCGTGTTCTCGCTATTACTCTCCTCTTGGGTGACGCCATCCTCCTCAGGTTCCGATTCAAAATCTTCAACTTCCTCTACCTCCTCGACGACCGATGTCTCATCGCCTATCAAACTTCCCTTCTCATCGTTTTCATTCTTTATATTATCCTCGATGGTACTTCTAACGGATTCTATTTTCTTGTTACATTCTAATATATGTTCTGAAAATTTGCCCTCACTTTCAAAATTCAATTGACACTTTTGACACCAAAAATTGCCAACGTAATTAATATGAATGCTCATATGTAATAATAATTTACTTCTTGCATTGTGATAACGACCACAGGTTTTACAGGTGAAATTATTTCCTTCGCACGATAATATAGCAGCATGAGTTGCCTTCAAATGATCGGACAGATCTTGATAAGATTTACATAATTTCAAACAAACGCCACACGTAACAGCAGCTTCTGCTCTATGAAAACGAATAAGATGTTGCCAAAGATGTTTTTTCGCTGGCCATTGTTTGCCACAAACTTCACACGTGCATTCGGTATTCGTTGATTCATCGTATACCTTTCGAGAATCTTTTCTAGAACATTTAACCGCAGTAGGTGGTTTAATATGTGACAATGGCATAAGATTCGGTACTGGTTTTTGCCCTGACAATTGCAAATTAATATCTTCGAATAAATTAAAATCTGGAATGTTTAAATTCGATTCGTTCATAAACGACGAAGTTTCTTCCTTCTTTATTTGATTATTATTTTTTAAATGTGTTTCTAAAATCGACGTTGGCATAATATTTTGCATATCCAATCTGTTAAAGGCGTTACGCCTGGTGCATACGTTAATATGATTCCAAAACAATGTTTTCGTACAGAATTGTTTTTGACAATTTTTACATTCAAAATTCTTTCGATTTCTCATTTTTCTTTTGCCACTGTCATTATTATCCGGCTTTATCTTTTTAAACATACGAATTGGATCGGTATTGTGAACATTTTGATAATGTTTCGCCAATGTATGACAATTTAAGAAAATTTCCGGACACATCTCGCAATCGTAGGTATCTGTTAACGATCTTCTACGTTTAGAATTATTCAAATCGTCCTCGCATAAATCCTCGTCGAAATCTAAATCATCCGGTTCTTCTTTAACAACGATATCCGCTGGTACATCGTACTCGTCGACTTTAGATCCAATATCCATACGATATTCAAATGCAGCTAATTGATCTTTGGAAATATTATGAACGTGTTCATAATGATCTCTGATATCCGAATCATTGGTAAAAACAGCTAAACATTGTTTACACGTTCTAAACACCTTCCCATGACATTTTTTCGTATGATCGAAAGCTTTCCATTTTGATGCATATTGTTTGCCGCATACCTGACACGTATTTGGTTTGGATAAAACACTTTCGTGTACGTCTTCAACGTGTTTCTTCAAATCCTTTGGATCTTTCATAGGTATTAAACAAACACCGCAAGATACTCCTATTTCATTTCTGTGTAAAGATAATACATGCATTTTTAATTTCAATTTATTCTCCACCGTATCCCCACAAAAGTCACAAACGTTAGGAGTTATATGATATTTATGATCCTTCCTATGTGCCTCCAAGTCTTCCTTAGTTCTGAATAATTTTTTACAACTAATATATTCACACGTAAGATCTGGATGATCCATATGCTTAACCCGATTATGAGTCATAATACCCAATTTAGATGTAATAGTTTCGTTACATAAATGGCATGTGTATGTGCTATGATGATTTTCTATATGCTTTTGTAAACTGGCACGATCTTTAAATATTCTTTCACAGGCACGGCAACGGGTCAATAATGCGCCTGGATCTTTTCGATAATTCTGACAACCTTTCATATGGCGTCTAAGTAAGTAACGTTTATGAAATCCTTTATTACATTTTTCACAATAATGTAAAACCCCATCCTCCACGTTCGAAGATTTGAAATTTACTGAATTTTTATTATCCTTTCTAACATCTAACTCGTACCTATGAATTTTGGATATGTGCGCAGCTAAATGGTCTTTAGACGCGCTAGTTTTCAAACAGTAAGGACACGTTATATCTACGTGACCTTTGTGTACCCGATTTACATGTTTCCATAAATGTGACGTTCTCCCGTAACACTTGTTACAAAGATCACACGGAAATAGACGGTGCACAATACGTCTATGACTGCATAAACTTTCCAGATTTGAAAATTTCATATCGGCACACAATTCACATGTTAAATCCATTTCTTGGGGTACAACACCGTGCTCGTACTTTGACGATTCGTTCAAGGCATCGTTAATACTGTTATTATCATAACCATCAATTTCTAATCCATGAATTTTTCTATGTCTTGACATTTTAGATTTATTTGAATATGGTCTACCGCATATATCGCAACTAAAATCACCATTGGTCAATGGCCAATGTTTAGTTTGCACATGTGTTTTAAGTTGCAAAACATTCGGAAATACTTTTAGACAAACGCCACATATTAGCGGCACTGTATCGGAATGTACTCCCATAACGTGCTTCCAATAATCAACTCGGCTACCCCATAATTTACCGCAAACTTCACAAGTATTTGGCGAAGGACCTTGGACCGAGTGATGGTGGTGTACGTGCTCGTTACGTAACGCCTTCGTAGCAAATATTTTTCCACAATCGTCCCGTTCGCACTGCAAATGATGAAAAACGTGAGAAAAAGTTTTTTTTTTTTTTTTTTTTTTTTTTTTTTCCAATTGAAAAATATTATTATATATACATCATATATATGCTCATGCTATCGCACGTTAATTTTCTTTTTATTTGAAAGACATACCTTTATACTTGGTTCGTTACTATGAGTGCTACTAACATGTAACCAACGTTCCCATTTACTAGGATGTGAGCTACCACAAAGCTCGCAGACAAAAAATAAATGATACTGCGCCCTATTACCAGTACCATTCATATTTGCTGGATTACCATTACCAATGGCATCTACTACCTGAGCCATTTGCTCGAACTAATAAAAAAATATACATGTTACATTTTTTCCCCCTTTTTTTTTTCTTTTTTTTTTTTTTTTTTTTTTCTATATGTTACAAAAGTTACTAATTATTTATTATCGATTATATTTAATAATATTTATTCAAAATATAATTAAAACAAATATAACCTTATGAGCATTTCTTTGATGTCTTATAAGATGATCCTCGTTTGGAAATGATTTATAACAAATATAACAGTCTATTTTTTCTCCCTCGTCTCCATCAAACTCCAAAATATTTTCAGTTACTTCATTACCATTTAATGTCTCGTTATAATAATTACTGTTTAACTGTACAAAATTTGCAGGGTCATAAGCAGGATTTACATTATGTATTGATACATGAGCAATTAATTTCTTTCGTGAATCATGTTGTCTACCACATATCGTGCAACTATACCTAAAATATAGTAATTAATATCAAACAAAATAATATAATAGTTTCATAATTATATATAAAATTAAAAATATATTATTCACCTTCTTTGTTCCGATACTAATAACTTTGATCCTCCGTGATACATATTAACGTGATTTAGGAGTTGTGTATTGTCAGAACATATTTTTAAACATACTCCGCAAGCAAAAGCAGCGCATTCTTTATGCGTCGCACGTATATGCAACCATAAAGATGCTCTATCATTAAAATCCCTTGTACATATTTCACATACAAAAACTGTCTCCATTTCTACCATATTTTCATGATTACTCCTCTCCTGATCTTCATCTTCATTTTCTACGTTCATCTAAATGCAAAGAGAAACATTATAGTATATTTAAATATGAAAATTTTTCTTTTTTTATCATTACTATTACTATTATTATTATTATTATTATTATTATTATTATTATTATTATTATTATTTTATAATTACTACTTACTTCTGGAGACAGAGCAAACTCCGAAGGTTCCTTTGAGTCTTTCTGATCGGACATAGGTATAGGTATCTGTTGACCCCATGATTGCGTAAGAACTACTCTTTTTAAACACTTATCACTATCTATAAAAGGACATGGATCTACACCATGCGATACCAAGATATGTCTGCTGAGTGATGATTTTAAAGTAAAGTCTTTTTTACACAATATACAAATAAAAGGTTTGTCAGCATCATGTGTTATCTCGTGTTCTTTAAGATTTTCCACTGAAGAAAAACTTTGTGGACACATTTCGCAGTACCACCTCTTCTGCATTTCACAGCCATCTGTCAATAGACATTATATTCTTCTATATTATATAATCAAATACAACAACCTTTTACGATTTATTAATCGCACAATATTGTAAGAAGTAAATGGAATTAAAAAAAAAAAAATACATTGATGTATTACCTGTTTTCGCTATTTTTTGTGGACTACAATTCGCTCTCGTTTTATCATCCAAATCTCTTTTTAAACCACTACCCTTTGTCAACGCCTGTTTCAATATCGTAAGCTGTGGATTTTTGGCTAATTTTGCTTCAGCATTTTTAAATCCCTTATGTTCATCGTCCGTATCCATACTCGATATATCCGAAGTATCAACCAGACTTTTACTATTATGTGATTCAATCTTAATATCCGGTTGCACTTGAAGCTCTATTCGTTGTCCAATACATATTCGACTATGAATATTTAAATCGGCTATACTAGTGAACATTTTGGAACACATTTTACAATAACATTTGGTTTCTGAACGGAAAAGGGGGTTTAGTAATTCGGACGGTGCAGGAAATCCTGCATGTCGTGATTTTATATGTTCTTCAAGATTTGTTCGTGTTGAATAAATGCGTGAACAATACCCACATGTTACGGCAGGATGTCCTCTGAAAAAAAAAAAAGAAAAAAAAGAAAAGAAAATTATATTTTCTCATTACATCTAACTTATAAAATTATGCAATACAATAATGAAACTTTTTGAAAGAATATATTCTTACCTGTGCGTAGTAGATACATGTCCCCATCGATGTTTAGCCGTTGAATAAGATTTGTTGCAAAGATCACATTGATAAGGCCTTTTATAGGAAGTATGATCATCGGTGATAACTTTCTCACCGATGACATCACCTGCACCCACATGAATTCTTGCATGAAGGGACAAATGTCCTTTAGAACTGAATGCCTTGTTACACAACGAACACACATACACTTCATGTTGCTCCGATGTATGTTGGAATATTGTTGATTCTTGTGTTACCATAGGCATATTTTTTGAACTCGTTTCTTCATTATCTTCAGTTACCATTGGGGTCATTTCTAAGAAATCACTAGGATTCGTTTCCATATCCATTTCATATTCATCAGATTTTCTATCCGAATCATCTATTATCGTTGCCTCTTTTGTTAAACAAAAATAAAGTATTATAAATAAAGATAATAAAATTTTAAAGCTATCTATCTATCTTTAGAGTTCACTATACATATATATATATATATATATATATATATAAATATATACCTTCATCCGTGCCACTATTTTCAAGAAGTTCTTCTATTTCATTATCTGCTTCTCCATCGGAATTTAATCTTGGCGGTGTACCTAAAGCCGCATTTGGATTTACTATGGGAGCCTCTGGGATTAATATGGGGATATTTTCTTTCTCCTTCAAAAATTCTGAATGTACATTACTGTACTGCATATAGTTACTTTTGTCCCCATTATGTGCCTATAATTTGAAGATATTTATATTACATATTCTATTACATTATTTCTTTTAAGAATATTATATATATATATATTATATAAATAAATAAAAGCTTACTAATTCGCTAGGAGGTAAATATCTTTCCAATAATGCCACTGCATTGACGCATGCTGTCCTGAAGTCATAAAAATTCTCCAGGTTGTACATACAGCGATAACATAAACACTTTGGGAGGCGATCATTTTCTGTGATCTAAAATAAAAAATCAATAAATATAGCAATCATTTACTTTTCAATATCCATATAATTAGTTTCATTAATAATATTGATTTAAATAGAGAAACTTTTTGTAAAATCTTAACATAAAATGAAAACGTAACACCAACAACGTATCAATTGCAAATAATTTTAATAATCTCATTGTTTATTTCCTATAGAGATATAGTATATGTGAATGAATGAAAAAATAAAAAAAAATAAAAAAATAAAAAAAAAAAAGAAGAAGAAGAAAAAGGAAAAAGAAAAGAATATGAGAAAGTTTAAATTCTAAAAGGTATCAAAAAAACACACGTGATTCCATTATCAATATTTCTAAACATTTAAAAACTTTCCTTTTATTAATGATCATAGAAACACCTACTAATAGTTTTCAAAAGGTGCTCCTTGTTAATTGACGCAAAATATAAATAAATCAAATTATGATCCCATAGAAATACATTTCAAATAAGAAAAATAGTAGGTGGGGTAATAGAAAAAAGAAAAAAGAAAAAAGAAACAAAAAAAGAAAGAAAAAAAAAAGAAGAAGAAAAGAAATGAAAATAAAACAATAATCTATAGATCCTCATAGAAAATCGATAACTACGAAGACGATATGATATCGTAGAAATTATATATATATATATATATATATATATATATATATATATGAAGATATAAATATATCTGTATATATATATACATACAAACACACACACACACACACACATATATATATATATATATATATCTTCAAAAGGAAAACAACAAAATAAAGTGAAGTAAACAAAAAAAAAGGGGCGAAGATTTGGAAGAAGAAGGAGAAGAAGAATAAGAAGAAGAATAATAAGAAGAAGAATGAGAAGAAGGGAAAAAGATGACAATGATGGAAAAAGTTAAAAAGATGTATTGTTTTCAAGGGTGACCATAGTCGAAGAGAACAAAATGTCTCCCGTTGCATTGAATTTCTCGTTGCCGTTCTCGTCGCCGTCGTCGTCGCCATAGTGTCGTCATTGTCGTCGTCGTTGTCGTCGATCATAACATAACATCTTGTATATATTCGAAAAAAAGAGAGAGAGAGAGAGAGAGAGAGAGAGAGAGAGAGAGAGAGAGAGAGAGAGAGAGAGAGAGAGAAGTAAAGAAGAAAAGAAGAAGAAAAGAAGAAAAGAAGAAAAGAGAAGAGACGAGAAGATGAGAAGAGAAGAGAAGAGAAGAAAAATTATATATTTTTACTCTTCTTTTTTCTTATTCTTTTCTCTCTCTCTCTTTTTCTCTCTCTCTCTCTTTCACTCTCTCTCTCTCGCTCTCTCACTCTTACTCTCTTTCTCTCTCTCGAACAAGACATACAGCAGAGCCTATCATAAAGTGAATCGTTTCAAATCGAAGACGAAGTGAAGTATTGCGGCGAGGGGGCTATCGCGAGGAGAGGATCGAGGACGAGGACGAGGACACGACGAGGCGCGACGCATACAAGGTGACTCAGAATTATGGCTGATATATGAAAAGAGTACTTGCATAGATAGATGATGGAAAATGGGGAAATACCAATCGGACCAGGTATATATCATAAACTCAGGTATAGAAGAACAGAAAAGAAAGAGAAAGCGAGAAATATATATATATATATATATACAAAGGTATATATATATATATATATATATATAGAGAGAGAGAGAGAGAGAGACAAACGCAAGCTACGGGATAGATGATACGAGAATAAGGAAAGTACGAAAAAGATATTCACCTTGAACGGTAGACAGGTCTGAATTTTGTCGACCAGTTGTCGATTTTTTCCCTCCTGTCCGAATATATCCATCTTGACAGCGTCGTAAGATGCACACAATCGACATAGCTCGTGATAACGTTGTCTAGACTCCATCGTCGTCGTAGTAGATGTAGTCAACGTTCCCATCGTCATCGTCGTCGTCGTCGTCGTCGTCGTCGTTCCCATTGTCGTCGTTGTCGTCGTCGTTGTCGTTGTCGTCGTCATTATCGTCGTCTTCGTGATCACTACCACTGCCGCTGCCGTCGTCGTCGTCGTCGTCGTCGTCGTCGTCGCCGCTGCTGCTGCTGCTGCTGCTGCTGTTGTTCTCGTCGTCGTCGTCGTCGTCGACGACGTTGTTGTTGTGACGTCGTGTCGCAAATCTTTCCTTGGCCTTCCAAGGCGTACGCGTCGTCTTTGAGCTAAGGAACTCTCTTCACTGGGTGGAGTGGTGGAAAGAGAGGATGAGGAAGAGCGTATGCCTGCGTGTGCGTCAAAGAGAGAGACGGAGACAGAGAGACAGAGAGACAGAGAGAGAGAGTGAGATAGATAGATAGATAGGACAGAGGGGAAGAGGAAAAAAGAAAGAAAGAAAGAGAGAGAGAGAGAGAGAGAGAGAGAGAAACGAAGGTTCTTAGTAGACCTGGTTTACTCTAGAAAGCCCTGGGAAGGAAAGGAAGAAGGAAGGTAAAAGGGGAAGGGAGGAAGGAGAAGAAGGAAGAGGAAGGAGGGAGGGAACAAGAAGGACAATTCCTTCGCAAAAAGGACGAACCGATGCACTCTGACTGATTCTCTGACACCCCAACCAACCAACCGACCGACCGACCGCCCGACCAACCAAACGACCGATTGACGACTTTTTCGTCTTCGTCAATCTCTTCTTCTTCTTCTTCTTCTTCTTATTCTTCTTCGTTGTCTTCGTCTTCGTCTTCCTCTTCTTCGTTTTCCTCTTCTTCGTTTTCTTTTTCTTCTTATTATTATTATTTCTTTATTTCCTTATATCATATCTCTCTTCGAATTTTCTCTATTATTTCCGAAAACTTTGAATATATATATATATATCCACGTATTATATTATTCTTCCCTTTGGTTAGGAGGACTCCGCCGATGAAAAAGAGAGAGAGAGAAAAAAGAAAGAACCAAAAAAAAAGAAACGAAAGAAGAAATTGTTACACCTTATATATTATACTCTCTCTTTCTCTCTCTTTCTTTCTCTCTCTCTCTCTCTCTCCCCGTTGCCTCCTACCTCGGCAGCCTCGGGGCTAAGGAGGCTCCGGGTTTTGGGATGTCAGGGGATTTTATTTTTTCTTTCTTCTACGGATCACATCCTTCGACGGTCGAGGATTCTCTCTCGGCTCTCTGCGATACCGCTCTCCTCCTGGGGCCGTATCGCGTAGCTAACACCACCACCACCACCAACACCACTAACACTAACCACCACCAACCACACCACCAACAACCACCACACTTTTGTCGTTTCTCTTTTTCGTCGTATTTTATTTTATTTTATTTTATTTTATTTTATTTTATTTCTTTTTTCCTTTCTTTCTTTTTCTAACTCGTTGTTGTTGTTGTTGTTGTTGTGTTGTTGTAATTAGAACAGAGAGACAATCACTCGTTTCATTGCGATTTTCACGAGAGCGAAAGCCCCGGGCGCCGCCATCTTGTACACAGCAGACACTTGTTTCCCTACCCGGACAGATCGGCCAAGTACCGGCAGTATCGTCGTATACTACTAACGTCGTACGTAAGCCGTGGACTTTCCGCGATACAGATTGACACGTTCCTTCCTTCTCTTTCTCGCTGCTCTCCGTCTCGTTGACATCGCGCGATCGCTCGAAGCGATGGCTTTTCTCCTGGATGCAATGTGGGGGATCCTCCAGTGGATTTTATGGGCCGACGATGGTAGGGTAAAGAGGAGAGCTTCCTTCGTACATTCCTACGACGCTCTCTTGATGACCTTGACGAACTTAATCGCTCGTTACACTGTGTCTTTAGAATAGACATATTAAATTACTTCTCTTCGCATTAGATTTCCTCTTTTCCCCCTGTTTTCTTTCTTTCTCTCTCTATCTTTCTCTATCTTTCTGTCTTTCTCTCTCTCTTTCAATTTCTCTCTCTCTCTCTTTCTCTCTCTTTCTCTCTCTAACTCTATCTCTATCTTTATCTCTCTGTCTTTCTCTTACTCTGATATTTTCAAGGTAACCCTTCATAAAGCGATCGTTTTATCGATGATAGTTACGCCATATCGACCAATCATAACCTCACTCATTACAAGCGATTTCGTTAAAGCTCATCTTTGATTGGTCCTCGTAAACTTTACTCGGTGATAACGTATTAAAATACTTATATAGAAATTTTCATGAAATCAATTGGATCAATCGATTATTTTTAATAATTAAGTTGCAGATATTATTTTATTTATTGTAATATATATATATATATATATAAACATTTATATAAACATGTATATATATATATATATATATACATCGTATAGAAATATTGAAAATAAATGAAGCTAGAATGATTCGGTTTACAAATAAAACATAAAATGTAAACTGATCATTTGAAATGAAAATCATTTGAATATTTGCATCATATTAATTTAACCATTTAATACGTAATAAATATACGTCATTTTCTTGCTATGTAACATTTTATAGAGACAGGAATTATTTCTTTCTTCCTCTCTCTCTCTTTTCAAAAAAAAATTTTTTTTTTACGTTTGGACAACGATACATATGTATATGTATTTATATATATGTATATGTATATGTATATATATATATATATATATATACATACACACATTTTGTTCCTTTATTATTGATTAATAAAGATTACAGATTTTATTTATGACAATGCGCGCAAAAGTTGTAATACAATTGCCAATGTTCAAAATATTTGCACATTGTTATTACGCTACTAGCATAATACGATATACAGTGTTATAACCTAAAAAAAAAAAAACAAGAAGAAAGAAAAAATTATAAATAAAAGGAAAAAAGAAAAGAAAAGAACAAAAATAGAAAAGAAATGTATCTGGTTTTTGAATATGTTCATCTAACTAATTAATAGTGATGATAATTAACAATTTTCGATAAGAACATTATATACATTCGTGTAAAGATACTTTTCTTAAGATAAATACATATGTAATTTCTTTTACTAGTTTATACCATCTTATATGGTGTGAAGGCAATAGTATTGTTTGTTTTATTCGTTTTCTCTCTCTCTCTCTCTCTCTCTCTCTCTCTCTCTTTCTCTCTCTCTTTTTCTATGTTTTTATAAGTATGCATTTTAATACGTTTTTTGTTTTCTTTTTTGTTTCTTAACTTTTTTTTTGTTCGTCTAAGATGGATTATAAAGATTTCTATATCTTGAAATAATTTAACATACATGCATAAACGCAACCGATTATTATAAACATGTTTACATACTTATTTACATGGAACCTTGTTAGAATGATATATAAATGTACATTATCTTAAAATTATCATTTTCTTTAAAGCCTGCACATATACTATTATGTTGATAATAAATAAAAAAAAAACAAAAACAAAAAAAAAAAAAAAAGAATAATATTTGTAGTTACAACGGCCAGATACATTTCTCTTTTTGGTTTTTTTTTGTTTTCTTTGTTTTCTTTTTTTTTGTTTTGTTTTTGTTTTTCATATTAATTATGAAACACGAAGCAAAACTTGTTTAATATATGCTATATCGCAGTAATCTGCCAATTAATTTTTTCATTACAAAAAATTAATAAAAAAAAAAAAATGATTTTCTAATGAAATAATAATTGTGATTGTTACTTTAACTAAAACTAATCAATGATTATCTTTTCTTTATTCTAATTTGCAACTAAATTCTCCTTTTACAGACACATGTACAATGTAATCTTAACATAGATTATAAGTGCCATATACATATATATTGATATTATTTCATCTATACATGTCAATTTAAGAGGTTATCGCTAATTCCATATAAAAAATTAGTTAACATTAACAAACATTTTAAATTTTATATCTCTGATATAGTTTACACATTTTAGTTTTTATAAATCTTAGTATTTGCACAGGCTTCTGGTTAATTAGATAATTGTGTTTTAATAATTCAATGGGTATTAAATATAATCATACTTTTTTCTTCTTTTTCTTCTCTTTTCTTATTTTTCCTTTTTTTTTTTTTTCTATCAGAATCATCATTTGTAAATCTTTATACTAATTGTAAAATACTGGCAGATTAAATAATGTAAAATACACTCGGTATGAGCTACAAAGATCTGCCTTTATAATATGATAAACATTTGATGGCAGGAAGAGCAGAATTGTGTATATATGTAAATATTTAATATAAATGATCATAATGTATGTATATTATAAGAGAATAAGTAAATAACGCTGATATTGAAAAATGCATGGTTAAAGATGAAAGAAAATTATATTAAACGGGTACATGTGTTAGTGATTAAGCTTAATAATTATCTTATTTTTGTGTGAAATTTTATAAAATATTATAAGATACAGATTCATATTACGCATATGAAAACATAAAATATATTTTGAAAATCTTAAATCATTAACTTAGACATTCAGTAATTTAACTTTAATTTATTTATTAAACAAGCATATACAATGTAAAAATAAAAATATATATAGTACTCTATATAATGATATTATAATCTTGTGCGTATACTATAATTTTCTGATTGTTATAATATTTTATTTTTATGAAAACAAAAGCTTTATCTCTTTTGGATGTATTATAATGTCAATATAAAAGTAAATATTTTTGATGTATCGAATGAACTTTAGCACGTTTTCCGAGAGTAATATGAATCCTATCTCAGTAGTGCCATACACCACTCCAGTGTACTTTTGAAAATTTTTCTATCAAGTAAAAATTTATCTCCGAGCATTTACTAAGGTTGTAAATATTGTTGTATAATAGTTCGTAAAGTAAATTAATAAGATAAGTAATAAAACTATGAAAAAAATCTAAGACAATCATTGTGAATATCGAGTTTATTCATACACTCTTTCACTAAATAATCATGTTAGAGTTGTTCTAATATGATTAGAATAATTAAGACATTAAAATAACATAATATAAGTAATATATTCGTATCCCATTTTTTTTTTTTTTATATAACTTAAATTAATATTGTTATTAACATTCTCTTTCTTCTCATTCTTGAATCCATTATTTATTAATACTTCTGATAAATGTATTATATATTTTTTAGTAAGCTGTACGTGCATAATTATCTTTCAGATACAAATATATTGTATCTTTACTTGCACACATATGCAAGTACCTAAAAACTTGAAAATACAAAGTAAAGCAAGGAAAAAAAAAAGCAAAATGCTTATATACGTATCTTATTTCTAAGTAAAATAAACATCAAAGTGGAAAGTATTGTTCATATAGAAACAAATTTCTATATGAACCGTTAGAAAAATTATTGCCATAAACTTTGAGTGAATTATATCAATGTATTCCTCTCAATCAATAAAAAACAAAATGATATACATTTTGTTATAAAACTATGCATTGCTTAAATTTCGGGATACTTTTTTTTTCCTTTTTCTTTTTTTTTCTTTTTCTTCTTTTTTCTTTTTAATAATGGAAGTGCATTTGTCAATACGTAACGCTACTCTGAGCTGTAAGCAATTACACTATCCTATTGTTAGAGAGATACACAATAATTCACTATGTAATACATATGCATGTATGTATGTATGTATATATAATGATAATAATAATAAAACACACACGCGCGCGCACACACACACACACATACATATATATGTAAAATGGGCTTTGGTCTGGAGTGGTGCGGGCTGATATTGATTTAAACAAAATTTTTTCTTTTTTTTTTTTCTTTTTTTTTTTTTAAATAGTCAGTGTCACATTCTTCGACTAGTTTATGTGAATATAATGTAGACAGTACCTTGTACTTGTCACTCAGTTTGAGCGCAAGCACGAGTCTTCCATCGCTGCGGCGTGCAATAACGTGCGTGCGTGAACACAGGAACCAAGTTGTATACGGAATCCAGAGCTCATTTTACTTGCTTCATTAATGCAATACCATATTGCCTATTATACTGTTTATTCTGTAGTTTATTTCATTTTACGATAAATAGAAAAAATTTCATGCAGAATAAAATGAATTTGTGCCATGAATAAGAAATAACAAAGTATTGACAAGTAATACCCTTGTGTTTCATTACATTTAAATAGAAAAATAAATTTTGTAGGGACCAGTAAAGGAATATGTAACAATTTTTTTAAACTTATTAAAAGTTCAAATCTATATATGTATATATATATATGTGTGTGTGTATATATATACATATATATACACATATATACATACATATATATGGTTACATATTAATAATTTATAACAATTCATGGCAAACTGATCGTAATTTTAATACATAGCTTTTTCAATTTTAATGATAACTGCAAGACTGGGAGCTACGCACAAATCGGAATGAGAAGGCCATTATTTTTTTATCAAAGACAGTATATATAAAATATTTATTATTTTTTTTTTTTCTTTGATTTAGCAATGACCGTTAGCACAATATATTCATTCATTTGTTCTGCTAGGAAAATATAAAAGTATGTACAATTCAATAAATTAATAGTTATTTAGAGTATAAGGTACGATATACTCTCGCTGTACAGTACCTGATGTATGATTCAAAATTAACTATATCCAAGTCCTTAATGAGATTATGAAGAACTAACTGGCATTTAATACAGATGGCAAATATGTAATTTTATAGTTATCTAAGAAGAAATCCCTAAGACTTTACTTGCATTTTGCATGTATATTTACATAATAGATAGGTCCTGTGTTCACTATCACAGCAAGATCTAAGCAGCATTTTTTTGTTTTTGTTTTTTATACAGGAAGAAATCTTAAAATCCGTATGTATTTTAAATGAATACTTTAAAAAAAGACTTTCTAAAAGAACTCACTGGACCCACAGCTCCCTCACCACTCCAGAGTTTAGTACTCCAAGTCCACATAATCAAATTCATTTCACTTTCTGCGTAATAACATGACTCTATGTACAAAGTATTGTTTGGAATCATATTTTACATGAATCTATTCGTAGATTCTCTTTGCTTTACTTTGGTTAGTCCTCAAACGTTGAACCTTTTACAAAGCATCTACTTGCTCCAGAATTGGTTGTTGGTCACTATTATTTTCACTCACACACTCAGATTTTTCAATTTGCTCTACACATTGCTGTGACGAGTCCTCTGTTTGACTGACTGTCTGATATTCACATTGTTTATCATCATTACACTGATTTTGTTCAACATCATTGCCAGAAGATGCATCTACGTTAGATTGGTAGGAACTACTTTGTTCTTCTTCATTATATTGATTTTCATGTAGTTCGTTATTGGTTTCTTCACTTTGTTCAATTTTTAAATGATGAACATCATTCTGTTCTTCAATGTGCTCTCTGTCAGCAGGACTATCATGTTCCATTTGTACTGATTGACTGTATTCGGTAATTACTTCCGATTTAGGTTCTATATTTTCGAAATTTCCATCCTGTGTTAGGTCCGTCTTATCATCAATTCCTTCAGTGGATGTCGCTTCGTCTGTATTTTCCGTTATAGGGGGACTTACATTACCCCATCTTGATTTTCTATTTCTGTTACGACTTTCTCTATCTGAAATATTGTTTTTATAATCTGTATGCTTTGTTCCTTTTTGTTTGTCTCGTGCAAGATGATTTTCTCTCTGATTGTGATTATCAGTTTCCGGAGTACTACTAGATTGAGAGGATGTCCATGGGCCTGGCGGTGCTCCACCTTCTTGATTTCTCCAAGGTCCTTCGGGACCGTGCATAGCTGGCGGACCCATAGGACCGAACGCTCTCATGTGTGGACCTGGTGGGCCGCGTACATCATCAAATGGTGGCCGGAAGAATGGATCAGCTTCTCTAGGATCGAACGGTGGGGGTCCGCGTGGTCCGAACGGAGGCCGAATTCTCATTCCTCGTGGACCCATACCTCGAGGATGGAAGATTAAAGGTCCTGAAGCAGTACGTGTTTAGAAAGTGCTCAACAATAAATGACAAATATATATACGCATATATATAGAAACATTGTTAATAACATTGAAAAACTTACCTGGACCTCTTGATCCCATGCCAGAGCCACGCGGGCCAAATCCTTCAGGTCCTACAGGGCCCCTCGGGCCTCGCAAACCCATCATTGGTGGTATTCCAAAAACAGGTTCCATCGGACCTCCAAAGAAATCTCTTCTTCGCGGATCAAAATCTGGTCGTTCGCCATGACTTCTTGGATCAAAACCATCCTGCAAACGTGGATCAAAACCATCGCGTCGCATTTCATATTCGAAACGATCTCGTTCATAATCTTCAACCGGTCTTCGATTTCTTATATCCGACCGATCAAAATCTTCTCTAGATGGTCCTAATCTAGGCGTAAATTCATCCGATCGTGGACCGTTATGCCCTAATCTGTTTTCAAAGTCATCTTGGAATCTTCCAGGTTGCATTCTTGGATCCATAAAATCATCTATCTGGGATCCCCTTAATGGTCCACTAGATCCCCGTTGAAAATTTTGTCTATCTCTATCCGTTAAATTTCTTTGTTGATAATCTCGAGGATCTTGTGGGCCACCTCGGAAGTCAGGTCCTCTGGGAGGAAAATCTACACGTTCTTGCACATTACCAGCAAATTTTGGTATATCCATCAAGGGCAATGGCATATCGTTCGGTCTTCGAGTTCCAGAATTTTCTTCAAAATTTCTTTCAGTTCTCTCGTTACTTCGTTCGGTTCTATTGCTTCGAATATTTCTATCCATACGATCGTCTATTGGCAATGTACCATCTGCTAATTGTCTCAATCGTTCAGCAAGACTTGGTTTCCCATCCTTCTTAGCTATAGCATCGTTATCTTGAAGATTTTGATTTGATATATTTGAACATTCTGAATGCCTCATAGAATTATCACGATTTTCTCTTATATCTCTATTATCTCTATCTCTCCTATCATCTCTATCCCTTTCTCTTCCATCTCTCGTATCTCTACGGCGATCACGACCTCGATCTCTTCCTCTTCCTCTGTCTCTTCCACGATCCATCCTGGAATCATTGACATCACTACGATCACTTCTGTCACGTTCGCGATCCCTTCTATCTCTATTTTCACGATCTCTATCTCTCTCTTTATAATCGATATTTTGTTGATCATTTTCTAGCCTATTGTCACTAGTGCCTGCACCCATGTTCATCGCCGCTATAAGCTGATCACTCAAATTTGGTTTCTCTTTGGAAGTGTTGTTGCTCACGTTCAGTGGCATGGCATCTTCCATTTCAACATCCATATCATCGGAGTGATGTTGAGGTAGTTGCATTTGCATCGGCGGTGCTGGCCCTACTCCGTAAGACTGACGAAGCATTGGTAGATTTGGTATGTTTGTTTCTGAGGTAGGTGGAGGTACTCCTATCGGTGGAACATTGTGTGGCATTCCTAGATCATAAACGTTTTATAAAAGATTCACGTGTCTGACGAAGATTATAAAACGGATAAATCACATACCAGTTGAATTTGGTTTATCCGATGGTGCAGCTGGTGCAGGTAATGGAATTTGTGTTAAAAGACCTACACCAACGCTTGCACCAAATGGAGAATTGACAGGAGGAGTCAGCATAGTCTGCATCATTCCTGGAGGTCCCAAGAGACTTTGCATATTGGGTGGAGGTACTCCAATTGGAACATTAGGCATTAAACTGTGTGCCATAGGGAGACCCATAGGTCCTATCATACCTATCATGATTTGATGTTGTATCAAAATATACTAAGAATGTGTTAACTAAGATACAACTTTGTCTTGTACTATTTTACAATTATCAATTTCAGTAGCGTACATGCTAATTACATATTACAACAAATTTACGACATTAAAATGTATATTAATAATTGAATTTAAATAAAACTTACGAGGAACACCAGTCATTGTAAAAGCTGATGGCATCATTTGTAATTGTGTGTTTGGAGGAGGCAAAAGTGCAGCTGATGTTGGTGGTCGTATTGGCGGTGGTTGGCTGGTATCGACTAACTGCGGTTGTTGCTGCTGTTGAGTAGAAGCATTGGAAATATTTATAACATTTACAATATTATTTGTTAATGTTGAAATTGGAGCACCAATTACCGATGCAGCAGCTAACGCCTGTTGTTGCATTTGTAATTGATGTTGCATGATATCTATATTCCCGCCAGAATGCTTCAATTTTCCTGTAATATGAATAAACATAAATAACAATTTATATAACAAATATTTGTCAATAATATATTAATATTATATTTGAAACAAATGTTTTGAATTTGCTTGACCAAATTAATATTGATTTATCCAAATTGGCTCAGATATTCAAAGTTACTTTAGCAAGTTGTTTTACATTATATACAAACGTATTATATATAATTGAATTAACTTGCATTTTTAATATTAAACGAAAAAATGCGTATTTATAAATTCATATAAAATTTGTCAAAATTCGAATAATTATATATACCTTTCAAATTTGGTGGTAATGTATCTTCATCTATCATACCACCTTCTTCCAATAGTTCTAGATCTTGATCCGTAATATTAAGTAACTTATTCCATGGAATATAACTAACACCAAGTTCTACTTCCCAATAATCTTTCCATTCTTTTCCTTTGACTCCTTTACCTGGAGCCCATGCTAACTATAAAATGATAAAATATGATTTCAATAATATTAAAATTTAATTTTGTAAAATAACTTTTTTCTTTCTTTTTTTTTTTTTTTTTTTTTTTTTTTTTATATATAAATAATAAACTTACAGTTATAGCTTTTCCTTGCATTTTATGATTCTTTAATTTTGTAAGAGCGCGATATGCATCTTGCCTTCTGTTCATGCAAATAAATGCACAACCCCTAGGTGATATGAGATCAATGCTAACAATGTCACCAAACTCTCCAAATGTGTCAGATAATTCTTCTTGATGTACTAATTTAGAGAGGTGACCGACCCAAAGTGTTGTACTGCAAACTACAAGAACATTTTTTTTCCTGATATATCTATGATTAAATATTATTAATATAAAATCAGGTTTTGAACGTACCGCTTAATTTATCTCTAATTATCGGAGGTAATCCACGCTTACGACGTTCTCTTTCCTTTTCTCTTTCCTCTTCTGTCATTTTTTCTCGGCTGTCATCTCTTTTTCTATCGCGACCTCTATCTCTAGATCGTGATCTATAATAGAAAAAATATCAGAGTAATTAATTTATACTATATAATTACGAATATATCAAATTGATATACATGTATGTATCTATAAAATTACTTACCTTCTTCTTCTTGATCTACTTCTAGATCGAGATTTTCTATCTCTGTCTCTATCTCTATCTCTATCTCTATGCCGAGGTGATCTAGACCGACTATGATGTCTATATCTCTCAGGCGATCTACTTTGTGATCGAGTATTATCACAATTTACAATTTCAACACTACTACTATCGCGTCTTGCACCATTTCTGTAACATGAATATATTAATTATTTTTTACAGAGAATATAATATATATATATATATATATATATATATATATATATCCATTTATATTTTTATTGTTTAGTATCATGCAAAAATTACCCGGAAAAATCTTGTGACTCTTGGCGTTCGTCGAGTAAAGGACTTTTTTGATTTTGATGACCAGTTTGATTTATTTGCCTCATGTTTGACAAAGGTTGCGAAACATATGGCATAGCTGGAGGATAACCAGGCGGTGGTTGGCTCATATCTTGAATAACTCCAGTAGTTGTACTTGTTGAATATGTACTTTGTTGGTTTGGTTTCAGAATGTCTGTAGGTTTCAGCTCGCATTCTGATGCAAAAGGTAAATTCTAAAAACATGATTTATATTTAGGACTATTTCAAATTTATCCAAAATATTTCAATGTTTTAGTAACATACAGGAACAGTTTGAGCCAAATGTTTATCAAATTCTTCCTCTTGTTGTTTCATCTGTTGCAATTTACGCATTTTTTCTTCCATTTCATGTTGCGAAGAAGATATATTTCCTTGCATTGTTTGTTGTAATGTCTGCAGTTGCCTAAGTACCTATATACGATAATATTTTAACTAAATAAAATACAATAACAATTACCAAAATATTGAGAATGCTTTTGTAAATATATTTTCATCCTTTTACCAAGAATAAAAACATTAATACCTCAGGATTTGTCAATAGCAATCCAAGACTTTCCAAACTATTACTTGTGGATACAGCATTATGTTGAGATGCAGCAGTGGTAGCAGTAGTAGGGGAACTTGCAACCACAACGTCGTCATCTTCTTCTTCTCCATAATCAAAATCTAAAAGCTTTTTATCAAATTTTACGGAAGTCTTCGATTCATTTGTAGCCTCTTGCTTCTTCAACAAGAGTTGTTGCAAATGTTGTAACTGATCAAGAAACGATGAGTCAACTTGATTTGCATTAGATTGCCCCTAAAAAGATGGAAAAGAATTTTTGTTAACTTTATACACAATGCAACATTTTGTAGATTTTAATTTAAACCTATGTTAGCTCATTAAATTATTTCCGTAAAATCATTTGTACTGACTATGTTAGCTGTCTCTATTTTTGTTTGTGCTAGCCATACTGGATCAATCGGTTTAGTGGAAGAAAATAATTTCTGATCTTTTGCAACAACTTTTACGGTAGATGGAGGAGTCTTTGTTACTGCAGAAATATTGCTTAGGTTATTACCAGATGATGCGTTCAATGTACCTATAAATAAAATTAATATAAAACATGATTCCAAAATTGTGAAAAATCATACAAACAAAAATATTTACCATTTGCGTTGACTGGTTGTTCTTTATGAATAGGATGATTGGGATCAGCTAAATCAAAAAGTGGTTGTATGACTTCTGGAGGGAAAACTGCATTTTTTTGCCAAAGATTTAATACACGTATAACTTTGCTTTTATCTTCTTGCGGGCATTTTAAAAGATTAAGAAAAGTAGTTTGCATATTTTTTGCAAAGCGAGGTGCAAAGACATCCTTTTCCATTCCAAATTGATGTCTTGACTGTCTTACAATTGAATCTATTACGTATAATCCCGGCACTTTATATTCCGGTTTACACTGAAAACAAATAAATGAATACGAACACATATATATACATATATATATATATTTTTTTTTTATTAAATAAACAATTAATTAAACTTACTTTTTGAATAAATTTTTCCACGCTTTGTACAACATGCTTATAAAATTTTATTGCTTTAATAGCTCCGCGTGTAAGAGAATTCATTTTAGCTTTGGAAATTGGCGGTTTAACATCATACAGCGCAGAAAGCTGAAATAAATTTTAATATTAGAAAGATTGCTTAAAATTTTGTACAAATGAAAAAAAAAATTAAAATCTAATTAATATTTCACAAATGAATGCGCGATATTATAAATACAAAAAGGGATTTAATCGAGCAAAGTTTTGTTTGTTAAAATTATAAAATTGAAAAATGAAATCTATATAGAATACATACGTATATTACAATTATGTCACAGTTTTATTTGTTTAAATAAATCAAATATTTAATGATTCAGATAATATAGCAATAATAATTAATGTAAACTATTTGTTTATTGACATAGTCTAATTATCCAATTAAACTTTTTTAATTTACGTTAGAAAAACAAGAAAAATAAAGTAATGGCAGAGTATCATTAGCGTCTTCAGGATATATAACTTATCATTGTATTTTTAAAAGAAATTATTTGTTTGGGGAAAATATAATATAAAAAGTATTGTCCATAACATAATATCAACAATACTAATTTGATGTACGCGACGTCCCTGTAAAGTCTAAAGAGAGGGAGGATTGCCTTTTCGACGATGACCTCTAAAACCTAGAGAAATCTTATTCTTACCTCTGCGTTAAATGCTTTGACCGCTTCCATCGTGCAAAAATTTCGCTCGATGAACAGTCACTAAGTTTTATACACTTTCGTGTGGCAAAGTATAAAGCGCTTCGCGATAAATTGCATGTCTTTTTATCACGCACTGTGTAGCTGGGCCATGCCATTCAAGATGGCAGGTCCATTTCCCAATATGCATCACGGGGCGGCGATGTGACGTCACACCTGTCGTATCAATCGGCAATATACATCGCATTTTTCAAACTAACTTAAAACATTTTAATAATCAGAAATATTCCATTAATATATATTTCTAATAATGTTAATTATAAAAGAAAAATTCTATAAGATTTCTAATTATTAAATTAAATTTGTTTAATTTATAAAAATTCAATATTGATTATAAAAAATTACAAAATTTCAACTATTCAATACAGATGATTACATTATATTATCAAAAGAACGAATAAAATGATTATACTTTTAATAAAATATTTAAATAATGAATATTTACATTTATTTTATATTCTCTACTAGATATATTTATATAAAGATAAGGTATTTCATTTATCCAATGAAATTTTTGCAAACTTGAATCTAACGTTTTTAATTGGTTACTAATTAGTTTGAATGAAAAATAATATAGAACAAAAATTAATACCAAAGAACAATTATGAAACGTGATAAAAAAAATTGTTCTTATAGAATAATAAAATAAAAGAATCAAATATTTTCATATATAATATAATATAGAATATAATATTATCAACAACGAAAATAACCAATATGATAAGTCACTTACAATTGTTTTCCAAATATTACTTTCATTTATTCTTAAAACGCGGGAAATACGAATTATTATCAATTTATCTGTTTTCGATGACATAACCTACAATAGTATTAAAAATTTTATCTTTGATTATAACATAATATAATAAAAGTTTGCACTTTAATTGCGAATAAAAAAAGATTTGAAAGACTTTCAGTTATTTTCGCAATTTTTTATCGAATCCAATCACAGAAATTTTGACACACAAGTAATCTACAGAATATTATAAAATATTTATACTTTTTATTAACACAAAAGTGAATATGTATAAGAATATTAGATCAATTTATACATTAATTGTTGGAATTTTTTCTATCGCTTTATTTATTTATGGATTTTTTCCTATAGTACATTATGATAATACCGTAGCATCAATAAATGATATACCACAATTTATAGATAACATAAGGTATGTTTTGTGTCTAGATTTGAATAAAAATATAAATCATTTAAAAAATTCAGTTGTAAATGTGTATAGTATTTTTTTTTTATCTTTTAGGATAGAAAGAGATATTTTATATAAACCATTAGTGAACAAAGTTATAATTATGGTAATCGATGCATTTCGTTGGGATTTTGTATCAGATTCGATTGGAAAAGCTGCTATGCCAATAACAAATAAACTTATAGAGAATTCGTTTGCATGTTTATTGCAAGCGAAAGTAGAACCACCAACAGTGACAATGCCTAGAATAAAAGTATATATAATTAAATTTATAATTTTATCTTAATAAAAAATATTATCAAGTATTTTTATTAAAATGTATTAAACAAAAATAGGCAATGACAACAGGGAGAGTACCAACTTTTGTTGACATGGTTTTAAATCTAGGAAGCCAGCCTATATTAATTGACAATATTTTACTCCAAGCAAAGACTCATGAACATGATTTAGTATTTTATGGAGATGACACCTGGCTGAAATTGTTTCCTACTATATTTAAACGTTATGATGGTACTACATCATTTTTTGTTACCGATTTTACAGAGGTATGCAATAATTGATGATATATAGTATAACGAAATTTTATATTATTTATAACTGTCTAATATAATACATTTAGGTAGACAATAATGTTACAAGACATATAGATGATGAACTTCATAATAATGATTGGTCAATAATGATTCTCCATTATCTAGGATTAGATCATATTGGGCATGTAACTGGACCATTTAGTTCTTTAATCAAACCAAAACTTACTGAAATGGATAATATTATAGCACAAATATATTCAAAAATTGTACATTGGGTAAATCTATAATAATATTAATGAATATTTCTTTATATTATTGATACAAGGATTGTTTGAATTATTTCAAGATTTTATGTTTTATCAGAATGAAAGTGGTAATTCTGTTTTGTTTATAATTTGTGGAGATCATGGTATGAAAGATTCTGGAGGTCATGGTGGTGCAACGTTACAAGAAACTACAGTACCTGTCATTGCAATTGGAGCAAATTGTTCTAAATCGCATACTCGACCAAAAAAAATAGCTCAATTAGATTTGGCAGCAACATTGTCTGTGATATTAGGTTTACCTATACCACATTCCAATTTTGGAAGTGTGACATTAGATTTATTAGATAATTTACCTATCTCTAGAAAATTATTTGCACTTTATTACAATGCAAAACAAGTTCACACTCAATTCAAAAAATTGACTGACTACAACTTTCAATGTGAGTATATTACATAATGTATATCTATAGCAAATAAAAAAGCTTTTTTTTTTTTTTTTTTTTTTTTTTTTTTTTTTTTTTTTTTTTTTCAAAAATTTGCATTTAAAATTAGTTTTACAGATGCTCATTATAAATACATGGATGCAGTAAAACTTCATCTTGCTTGGCTAAAATCAGTTAATAATTCGTATGAAACAGGATATGATGTTATAGCTGCGTATCGTTCGGCACTTAATGAAATGAAAGAAATATTAGTAAAAAATATGTTAAAAAATGATACGCATTTAATGATTACAGCAATGTTGTTTCTATGTCATGTATGTATGACCTACTCACTTCAATGGATTAATAATCAAGGATATATATAGAATTATCTTATTTTTATATTTTAGATCTTATGGATTTTATTGCATGACCAATATCATTCATTAGTGACTTTTAAAAAAGTATTAAAGTTATTTATGACAAATTTATTGTTATATATAATAATAATTTCTTTCTGGAGTTTTGAAATCTTAAGTTTATCTCTTTTTAATAATATAAAAAATTGTGTATTTATATTAAGCATTATTGGACTTTTGTTTTTAAACTGTTACTTCCTTGCTAAAATAAAATATCATCATTATTTTAACATCAAGGTAAGAATTATTGATAAAGATATATAATATAAATGATAATACATATATATAATCAATGTTAAAATATATATTAATATAAATTTTTTCTTTTAGTTAAAAAATTATAAAACATTCGAATGGATTTTTCTCTGTGGAATATTAATACATGCTATAAGTCTAGGTAGCAGTAGTTATGTGGAAGAAGAACATCAAACTTGGTATTTTTTTTGGGTTTCATTCCTTGTACTGTTGCTTTGTAAGAATAACAAAATAATAACAATGAAATCTTTCAAGTAAGTCTAATATAGCTTTTAATTATTAAAAAAAAAAAAAAAAAAAAAAAAAATCTAATTTTAACTTACATTTCTAGGATACGTGTATATAGCACACAATTTCTAATCTCTATTGAAATATTGCTATTGCTCGTTGGACATAGAATCTTTCGAATGCTTAACAGTACTGGTAATAAATATAATCATCTTCCTGATATTGCAGGATATTTAATGAAAGAAGAATCAAAAGTCAATATAACAATCTTTGTCATTATTGGTAATTATTCACATATGTATCTATATTATAAGTAAAAAATTTATTTTAATTTAAAAACTTGTTGTTTTAGCTCTTGCACTTTTAGTATGGATTGGTTTTGTACATGAAAAATCAATCTATAGATGGTATAGTTTATTTTTGAATATAGGATTATCTCTATGTATTTATCTTCGTCACACGAACAATCAAACCATCATACCTATATTATTATACCCTTCATCTAAGTAAATATCTCTTAAATTATATATTATAAAATAAAATATAAGAAAAAGAAATATAATTAATTTTTTCAGAGATGTAAAGGAAGTACTAATATTCTGGAATTTATTTACAATATTCTGTATATTCTCTGCATACAGATTGATTTCAATAGCAAAACGCAATAAAACAAATTTCTTATATTATATCATATCTTTTCTTGTACAAGCATGGATTATGGTATCAGCATTATTACATCAACCATACAATTTAATATTACTTCCGATACAATTAATAGTAATTTATGTAATAAATTCAATATTGAAATATAATAATATAGGAGAAATTAATATATTTATAAATGCCTGGATTGGAAATGTATTTTATTTTTATCAGGTATTAATATATGCTATTTTTTTTTTTAAGAATTTAATAAGAAAATTAATGCAGCGTTTATTTTTAATTGTTTTATATCATTTTTTGTAGGGAAATTCTAATAGTCTTGCTGATATTGATATTGCAGCAGGCTATGTAGGATTGCAATCCTATAGACCTGTTATTGTTGGAATGTATTTAATTGTGAATACATATTCTGCACCAGTTTTGGCTTATCTTTTAAACATATATTACAGAACATTATCGTACAAATCAGTTCATGAGTAAGTATATTTCCGATTGCTAATTAATTCTTTTATTATATAAAATCGTATATATGAAGAACTATTTGTTATTTATTTTTTGTTTTTTTAGTTTACACTATGTACTTTTGTCAGACAACAGAATTTATATGATATGGAAATTAGTACCAGTTATTATTTATACGTTTATAATAACAATTCAAAAACATCATTTATTCATATGGAGCGTATTTGCACCAAAATTATTGTATGAATCAATCTATTTAACTGTTATGAATTGTACTATATTGTTTTTGGAAACGATTATTTTGATAGAATATATAATAAATAAGTATATTAAGTAAATTCATATTATTTGATAAATCTTTTTACACTTCCATTGCATAATCCTAGTATTAAATAATTGTTATACAAAATTTTTGTTTACGTCATTTGTTTTTCTTTTCTAATTTCGATAAAAACTGACTCGTTTCATTATATTTAGAAAAACAATCTATGATATATAATACAAAGTTATTGAACCTCAGTCTATCATAATTTTGGTGGTCATGCACCTGAATGATGGTGCAAAGATAAATATGTATAATAATTGACTATAAATAATATTCTCTTTTTACACATGTTACGTATTCAATTAGTATATGTATAAATTGTGCGTGAACGTTATTACACATATTTA